GACACCCCCCTCCCGCCTGCAAACTAACCCCCCGCCTCACCCCCCCGCCTGACGCCCCCTCTCCCCTCCCGACACCCCTCCTCCCGCCTGCAAACTAACCCCCCGCCTCACCCCCCGCCTGACGCCCCCTCCCCCTCCCGACACCCCCCCCTCCCGCCTGCAAACTAACCCCCCGCCTCACCCCCCGCCTGACGCCCCCTCCCCCTCCCGACACCCCCCTCCCGCCTGCAAACTAACCCCCCGCCTCACCCCCCGCCTGACGCCCCCTCCCCCCTCCTGAAACCCCATCCCCCCTGCAAACTAACCCCCACCCTGACACCCCCGCCTACCCCCCTCCCCCTCCTAAACCCCATCCCCCCCACCCCCCCCTGACACCCCCGCCTGATGCCCCCATCCCCCCTCCTGAAGCCCCCATCTCCCCTGCAAACTAAGCCCCACCCTGACACCCCCCGCCTAACACCCCCCCCACCTAATGCCCCCATTCCCCCTGCAAACTACCCCCTGCTTCACCCCCCCGCCTAATGCCCCCATCCCCCCTAGTGAAACCCCCACACCCCTGCAAACTAACCCCCAGCTCACCCCCCATTCTCCTGCCTGACATGCCCCTGCCTGACACCCCATCCCCCCTCCTAACACCCCTCATCCCCCCTGCAACCTAACCCCCCACCTGACACCCGCCATGCTCCCTCCTGACACCCCACATCCTCCCTGCAAACTAACCCCCGCCTGATACCTCCCTGCAAACTAAACCCCAGCCTGACATGCCCCATCCCCCTGCAAACTAATCCTCCCACATCACACCCCTGAGGGACGGTTGGGTAGAGGGGTGTGGGGATGGATGGATGGACGGAGGGATGGTTAGGGAGAGGGGTGCGGAGATGGACAGATGGAGGGATGGATCGTTAGGTAGAGGGATCCAGGGATGGATGGACAGGCAGTAGCATGGTTAGGTAGAGGGGTGGTCGGATGGACTAACGGAGAGATGGTTGGGTGGAAGGGTGCGGAGATGGACAGACAGAGGGATGGTTGGGTAGAGGGGTGTGGGGATGGATGGAGGGATGGTTGGGTAAAGGGGTGCAGGGATGGATGAATGGAGGGATGGTTCGGTAGAGGGGTGCGGGGATTGACAGATGGAGGGATGGTTGGATAGAGGGGTGGTCAGATGGACTAACAGAGAGATGGTTGGGTGGAGGGGTGCGGAGATGGACAGACGGGGGGATGGTTGGGTAGAGGGGTGTGGGGATGGATGGAGGGATGGCTGGGTAAAGGGGTGCAGCGATGGATGAATGGAGAGATGGCTGGGTAGAGGGGTACAGGGATGGACGGACGGAGGCATGGTTGTGTAGGGGGTGCAGGGACGGATGGACGGAGGGATGGTTGGGTAGAGGGGTGCAGGGATGGACGGATGGAGGGATGGTTGTGTAGGGGGTGCAGGGATGGATGAATGGAGAGATGGCTGGGTAGAGGGGTGCAGGGATGGACGGACGGACGAGGGATGGTTCGGTAGAGGGGTGCTAGGGGGGGATGGTTGGATAGAGGGGTGGTAGATGGACGAATGGAGGGATGGTTGGATAGAGGGGTACAGGGATGGACGGACGGAGGCATGGTTGTGTAGGGGTGAGGGGGGGGGGGGGGGGGGATGGTTGGGTGAGGGGTGCAGGGATGGACGGATGGAGGGATGGTTGTGTAGGGGGTGCAGAGACGGATGGACGGAGGGATGGTTGGGTAGAGGGGAGTTCAGGGATGGACGGACGGAGGGATGGTTGTGTAGGGGGTGCAGGGATGGATGAATGGAGAGATGGCTGGGTAGAGGGGTGCAGGGATGGACGGACGGACGCAGGGATGGTTCGGTAGAGGGGTGCGGGGATTGACAGATGGAGGGATGGTTGGATAGAGGGGTGGTCAGATGGACGAATGGAGGGATGGTTGGATAGAGGGTTGCAGGGATGGATCGACAGATGGTAGCATGGTTAGGTAGAGGGGTGGTCGGATGAACTAACAGAGAGATAGTTGGGTGGAGGGGTGCGGGGATGGATGGGTAAAGGGGTGCAGGGATGGACAGACGGAGGGATGGTTGGGTAGAGGGGTGATCAGATGGATGAACGGAGGGATGGTTGGGTAGAGGGATCAGGGATGGAATGACAGAGGGATGGTTGCGTAGAGGGGTGCAGGGATGGACGAACGGAGGGATGGTTGGGTGGAGGGGTGCAGGGATGGACTGACGGAGGGATGGTTGGGTAGAGGGGTGCAGGGATGGACGGACGGAGGGATGGTTGGGTGGAGGGGTGCAGGGATGGACGGACGGAGGGATGGTTGGGTGGAGGGGTGCAGGGATGGACGGACGGAGGGATGATTGGGTAGAGGGGTGCAGGAATGGACGGACGGAGGGAGGGATGGTTCGGTAGAGGGGTGCGGGATTGACAGATGGAGGGATGGTTGGATAGAGGGGTGGTCAGATGGATGAATGGAGGGATGGTAGCATGGTTAGATAGAGGGGTGGTCGGAGGAACTAACAGAGAGATGGTTGGGTGGAGGGATGCGGGGATGGATGGGTAAAGGGGTGCAGGGATGGACAGACGGAGGGATGGTTGTGTAGGGGGTGCAGGGATGGATCGACAGATGGTAGCATGGTTAGGTAGAGGGGTGGTCGGATGAACTAACAGAGAGATAGTTGGGTGGAGGGGTGCGGGGATGGATGGGTAAAGGGGTGCAGGGATGGACAGACGGAGGGATGGTTGGGTAGAGGGGTGATCAGATGGATGAATGGAGGGATGGTTGGGTAGAGGGATCAGGGATGGAATGACGGAGGGATGGTTGGGTAGAGGGGTGCAGGGATGGACGGACGGAGGGATGGTTGGGTGGAGGGGTGCAGGGATGGACGGACGGAGGGATGGTTGTGTAGGGGGTGCAGGGATGGAGGGATGGTTGGGTAGAGGGGTGCAGGAATGGACGGACGGAGGGAGGGATGGTTCGGTAGAGTGGTGCGGGATTGACAGATGGAGGGATGGTTGGATAGAGGGGTGGTCAGATGGATGAATGGAGGGATGGTAGCATGGTTAGGTAGAGGGGTGGTCGGATGAACTAACAGAGAGATGGTTGGGTGGAGGGATGCGGGGATGGATGGGTAAAGGGGTGCAGGGATGGACAGACGGAGGGATGGTTGGGTAGAGGGGTGATCAGATGGATGAACGGAGGGATGGTTGGGTAGAGGGATCCGGGGATGGATGGACGGAGGGAGGTTAGGTAAAGGAGTGCGGGGATGGACGGATGGACGGAGGGATGGTTGGGTAGAGGGGTGCAGGGATGGACGGACGGAGGGATGGTTGGGTAGAGGGGTGCAGGGATGGACGGACGGACGCAGGGATGGTTCGGTAGAGGGGTGCGGGGATTGACAGATGGAGGGATGGTTGGATAGAGGGGTGGTCAGATGGATGAATGGAGGGATGGTTGGATAGAGGGTTGCAGGGATGGATGGACGGATGGTAGCATGGTTAGGTAGAGGGGTGGTCGGATGAACTAACAGAGAGATAGTTGGGTGGAGGGGTGCGGGGATGGATGGGTAAAGGGGTGCAGGGATGGACAGACGGAGGGATGGTTGGGTAGAGGGGTGATCAGATGGATGAACGGAGGGATGGTTGGGTAGAGGGATCCGGGGATGGATGGACAGAGGGAGGTTAGGTAAAGGAGTGCGGGGATGGACGGATGGACAGAGGGATGGTTGTGTAGAGGGGTGCAGGGATGGATGGATGGAGGGATGGTTGGGTAGAGTGGTGCAGGGATGGACGGACGGAGGGATGGTTGGGTAGAGGAGTGCGAGGATGGACGGACGGAGGGATGGTTGGGTAGAGGGGTGCGAGGATGGATGGACATATGGAAGAATGGTTAGGTAGAGAGGGTTGGGCATGGACAGACGAACAGAGGGATGGTTAGGTAGAGGGGTGGTCAGATGGACTAATGGAGAGATGACTGGGTGGAGGGGTGCGGAGATGGACGGACGGACGGAGGGATGGTTGGGAAGTGGGGTGCGGGGATGGATGGACAAGGGAGGTTGGGTAGAAGGGTGCAGGGATGGACAGGCTGAGGGATGGTCGGTTAGTCGGGTGCAAGGGTGGATGGACGGAGGGATGGTTGAGTGGAGGGGTTCGGGGATGGACGGATGGACAGAGGGATGGTTGGATAGAGTGGTGAAGCGATGGATGGACAGAGGGAGGTTAGGTAGAGGGGTGTGGAAATGGACAGACGGAAGGAGGGATGGCTGGGTAGAGGGGTGGTCGGATGGAGGGATGTTTGTCTAGAGGGGTGCAGGGATGGACGGATGGACGGAGGGATGGTTCGGTAGAGGGGTGCGGGGATGGACGGATGGAGGGATGGTTGGGTGGAGGGGTGCGGGGGTGGACGGACGGACGGAGGGATGGTCAGGTAGAGGAGGGCAACGCATGGATGGACAGATGGATGGACATAGGGATGGTCACGTAGAGCGATTCGGGGACCGACAGACGGAGGAGTAGCTAGTTGGGGGCAGGGAGCGATTGAGGGGGCTGGTTCCCCACCGCCCCCAGTGTGGGGAAGTGGGCAGCAGGCCAGTTCCCAGTTCTCACTAGCCCAGCCTGGTCTTCTCCGACCCCAGCAGGCTCCAGCACACCCCCTGCTGCCAGTGCCAGGGGAAAATGCCCCCCACAACACAGGGCAGCCAAGTCCAAACCCCGCTGCTCAGCTCCATCCAGGCCTCCCCACTGCTGTAGCATACAGCAGGGGGAAACTGAGGCACTCAGTCGACAAGAGACCCTGGCTCCCAGCCCCTCCTGCTCTGACCACTCAATTCCACTGCCCTCCCCAGTGCCGAGACAGAACCCAGGAGTCCTGATCCAGGTGAGATGCTAAACCAACACGGCACAGGCACGGAGACTGGGTCCCCCTTCCCTGCTCCCCACCAGCCAGCGCTGCCCCCCAGATCCCTCGGTCTCCGCGGGCTACACCCCTCCCCTCCCCCGCGCACTGACCTTTCAGGCAGAAGTGGCAGCTGTAAAACATTCACTCCAGTCCAGAACCTGGGGAGAGAGCAGCCGGGTCAGAACCGGTCCAGGACTGGGGGGGACCAGCCCCAAGGGTGACCCCCACCCCGAGGCACCTGCAGCCAGTCCCAGGGCAGGGGCCCACTCCAGGGGGGAAGGGGTTTGCACTCCGAAGGGATGGCACACACCCCAGGGAACACGATGCTTTGCACACTCAATCAGGCATTTGCACACTCGCCAGGGGACACTCAAGGGTTTTTGCACACTTGGGGGTTTGCACACTCACCCAGGCACTGTGAGGGGGTTGCATCGAGGCCCACAGAGATTGGCAGGCAACCAGCCCAGTCTCCCGTCTCTGACAGCACCAGTCTCCACCCGCTGCCCTCACAGCCGGGGGCATCCGCCCCACACGAGCCCCCCCCCCCCCCCTACTCTGGGTTGCTCTCATGGAGCCTGGAAGCAGCCGGTTTCCAACTCAGAATCGCTCTCCTGAATCCCCCTAACTTGGGATCTGCTGGAGAAACTGCCCAGCTCCATCCCTGGCCCCTCAACTCTTGTGGCAGGGAGTTCCACGGGCTGGTCCTGCCGCAGGTTTCCTGCCCCCTCGCTGGAACTTACCATGCCCAGTTCCCTTGTCCCTGGGTTAGGCCAGAAGGAGAGACACCCCCTGCCCTCCCCAGTCTCTGGGGGGGCAGCGTCACCTTCTCCGAACCCCTGCCATGCTGCACACTCCCTGGGGCACACTCACACCTTTGCTCTCACACTGGGTCAGACCCAGTGGGTCACCTGGCCATCGGGGCACCCTCACACACCCCCAGGGCACACTCAAGGGTTTGAACACACCACGCACACACAGCAGGTCGAGTGCACACCCGCACCCACACACACCCTCTACAAAATCCTGCTCCCCACCCAATCTGGGGAGAGAACCCAGGCGTCCGGCTCCCAGCACCACCACCACACCCCACTAGATCATAGTCCCCATCCAAAGCCAGGACAGAACCCAGGAGTCCTGGCTCCCAGCCCCCCCCACTCTCATCACTAGACCCCAGCCCCTCCCAGAGCCGGGGAGAGAACCCAGGCGTCCTGGCTGCCTGGGACCGGGCTGCGCTAGGCCCTGCATGCGCCCGGCGGCTGCTAATCAGCGGATGTCATCTGCGGAGCGAAGTCTTTGCTTAAAGAGATTTAGGGCAGGAATCAATAGGAAATTTAAAAATCGATGCGGTTAGTATGAGAAAATCGATGGGTTTAATCGGGCTGCCGATCCCCGTCACAACAATTAGAAGGACGGGATGTTCTACAACCCACTACACGCCATTAGCATCACCACTGCCCTGAGTGATGCGGGGCCCCAGGGAGGCAAGCCAGGCGGTGGGGGATGGGAGGGAGGCAGGGAGCGGGGCGGGGCGGGGTCCCGAGTCTGCTTGGTGCACTCAGCCTGTGGGAGGGGGCATCCATCACCTGGGAGTTACCACCCACCGTCCCAGGGAGCACGGGGGGGGGCAGGAGAGGATGGGGTGAGCTTCCTCAGCAGTGCCTGGGAATGGGGAGGTCTGAGCGCCGGGAGCCAGGACTCCTGGGTTCTCTCCCTGTCTCTGGGAGGGGAGTGGGATCTAGTGGTTAGAGCAGGGGGGCTGGGAGCCAGGACTCCTGGGTTCTCTTCCCAGCTCTGGGGGGAGCAGGGTCTAGTGGGGCTGGGTGTGGGGGAAGGTGCCAGAAGAGGCAGCCCCGGAGCAAGGAGCTGAATCGATGTGTCAGCACCGGGGTCACTGGGAATCCCCGAAAATCAATGCGCAGCGTTTGCAGGCTGTGGGAGATCAGCCTGGGAGGGAGCTGACAGGCCGCTAATCGGCCTGTCAATAGCCCTGACCCTGGCACTTAACCTATCGACAGGCGGGGGAGTCCCGAGCAGCACGGGGGGGAGCTAAGGCCCTGCCTGGGTGTGTGAGGGGACATGGGGGGGCACTGCCCACCCTGGGGTCTCTAACACTCAGGTCTGACCCCAGGAGATTATGGGAGGGGGCCTGGCACATCAATCCAGGGCCCGGCTACAGCCCAACCCCCCACATACACCCCAATCCAGAGCTCAATGACAACCCAACCCCCCACATACATCCCAATCCAGGGCCTGGCTATACCCCAATCCCCCGCCCCCCCCATTGATCCAGGGCCCAGCTACACCCCAACTCCTCCCCAGATACACCCCAATCCAGAGCCCAACTACATCCCAATCCCTCCCATCGACCCACAGCCCAGCTACACCCCAATACTCCCACATACACCCCCCCCCCCCCCCCCCCCCCCCCCCTCAATATACCCATCCATTCTCCCCCAACCTCCCACATACCCTGACCACCCACTCATCCCAACCCCCACATACACCCCGCTCCAGGGCCTGGCTACACACCAACCTCCCCTCACATATACCCCGATCCAGGGTCTGGCTACACCCCAAACCTCCCACATATACCCCGATTCAGGGTCTGGCTACACCCCAAACCTCCCACATACAGCCTGAGCCAGGGCCCAGCTGCATCCCAACCCCCCACATACACCCCGATCCAGGGCCTGGCTACACACCAACCTCCCCTCACATATACCCCGATTCAGGGTCTGGCTACACCCCAAACCCCCCACATATACCCCGATTCAGGGTCTGGCTACACCCCAAACCTCCCACATACAGCCTGAGCCAGGGCCCAGCTGCACCCCAACCCCCCCCATACACCCCGATCCAGGCTCAGATCCACCCGGGGCTGGGGGCGGGGGGGATTGCTCAGTGTTGTGTTTTCCATGGGCCACGGAATTCTTTCGCACCCAGCGGGTTAACCTCCCGGATGCCTGGGTCCACACTCAACCTTCCCGCCGCCCCTCCCCCAGGCAGAGCCAGGCCCTATAAATATGGATTCAAACTGGCTGTGGTAAAGGTCAGGGTGCAGGAGGGGAGGGGGCTGTGAGACGGGGGGCTGCCGGGCAGAGGGGGTGCTGTGTCTGTCGCTCACTACTGGGTGACACGGATTCACCATCGCACACTCACACAGGCAACCCAACGGGTCAGGGACTCACAGCTAAGGGGGTCACAGATACACCCCCTGCTACACAACACACAGCCACAAACACACCCAAAGAACTCACACAAGTGCAGGACAAAGGACAGACACACAAACCACACACACACAACAGAGACAAAAGGACAAACACAGCCCCCCCCCCACAGAGCTGTGTGTGTGCATTGTACAATCACCACCACCCCCAGCTGGGTGCACATTTTGTACAATCACCCCCATGTGTACACACACCCCAACCACACACCCCAATAGCACACCCTCCGCTCCCCCCCTCCCCCGGTCCCCCACACGGCCCGGCAGCACCAGGACTGTGCTGGGGTGGGGGTTGGTTTGGGGCCTGAGTGGGAACACAGGGACATCGACACCCCGCGAATGACGGCAACCTCCTTGGGGACCCCAGAACTGAGGGCAGGAAAAGCAAGCCCGGCCGGGTGAGGGGCTGGGCCCTTTTCACACGCGGCACGTGCAGCGGACCACAGGGGAGTGTGTGTTTGTGTCTGCGTGTGCACTGATGTGTGTGTCCTTGTGCAAGTGTTCACAACTGTGAGTGGGAATGGGTGTGTCAGCCCCCCTGCACCCATCCACCGCCCCAGAAATGCTGAACCTGTGAAAAGCGAGGCTGAAATTTGGTTAGCAGAAGCCAGTTACAGTCTGATTGCAAGGAGCGGGCGGGGAAGGCTGGTGGGAGCAGGGTGGGGAGCCAGGACTCCTGGGTTCTATCCCCAGCTGTGGGAGGGAGTAGGGTCCAGTGGTTAGAGCGGAGGGGGTGGGGTTGGGCGAGGAGCCAGGGCTCCTGGGTTCTCTCCTTGAGCCTGGGAGCAGAGTTGGCTTCACTCTGTTATGCTACCCCTAGGCAGCAAACCTCGGTGTGAACATCCACAAAATAATCCAAAGCTTCCATCACAAAATCATCCCCTAAACCCGGATTGTAACCCTCCCCCCCCACCCCGGCCAACCCACATCACACTGGGAGCTCTCTAGGGCAGGGGCTGTCTCTTGTTGAGTGTCTGGGCAGCACCCGGCTCGAGGGACCCCGGTCCGGGTCGGGGTCTGGGCGCCGGGTTGTCATCTGGGGGAGGGGGAGGGGTTCCAGTGGGCGGCGTTGGAGGGGGCTGGGTCAGGGTCTGGGCGGGCCCTGGATGGGCCTGTCCAGGTTGGGGCGGGGGGCCCTATGGGGCCAGCATGGGGCGCCGGGTTGGGGTCTGGAGCGGAGGGGCCGGTCGTTGGGTCAGGAGGGGTCTGGTCAGGGTCTGGCGGCGGAGGGCTGGTCTGGGTGGAGTTGGGAGCGAGGCCCGGTCTGGGGGGCTGGCGGAGGGCGGTCTGGTGGGGTGCCCCCGGTGAGGGGCCCAGTCTGGTCGGGGCGGAGGGGCTCGGTCTGTGGGGTTGCGCGTGAGGGGCGGTCCAGGTCGGGTCGGCGGCGCCCAGCATGAGGGGTCCTCGCTCCGGGTTGGGGTCTGGGCAGCATGAGGGGGCCCCGGTCCGGGTCGGGGTCTGGGCGGTGCCCAGCGCGAGGGGCCCCGGTCTGGGTCGGGGTCTGGGCGGCGTGAGGGGCCCCGGTCCGGGTTGGGGTCTGGACGGCGCCTGGGGCGAGGGGCCCTGGTCTGGGTTGGGGTCTGGGTGGCGCCCAGCGCGACGGGACCCCAGTTCAGGGCGGGGTCTGGTCAGCACCCGGCGCGAGGGGCCCCAGTCCGGGAGGGGTCTGGGCGGCTCGAGGGGCCCCAGTCCAGGTCGGGGTGTGGGCGGCGCGAGGGGCCCCGGTCCGGTTCGGGGTCTGGGCGGCGCCCGGCGTGAGGGGGCCCCGCTCTGGGTTGGGGTCTGGGCGGCGCGAGGGGCCCCGCTTCGGGTTGGGGTCTGGCCGGTGCCCGGCATGAGGGGGCCCCGGTCCGGGTCAGGGTCTGGGCGGTGCCCGGCGTGAGGGGGCCCCGATCCGGGTCAGGGTCTGGGCGGTGCCCGGCGTGAGGGGGCCCCGGTCCGGGTCGGGGACTGGGCGGCGCCCGGCGTGAGGGGGCCCCGATCCGGGTCAGGGTCTGGGCGGTGCCCGGCGTGAGGGGGCCCCGGTCCGGGTCGGGGACTGGGCGGCGCCCGGCGTGAGGGGGCCCCGCTCTGGGTTGGGGTCTGGGCGGCGCGAGGGGGCCCCGCTTCGGGTTGGGGTCTGGCGGTGCCCGGCGTGAGGGGGCCCCGGTCCGGGTCAGGGTCTGGGCGGTGCCCGGCGTGAGGGGGCCCCGGTCCGGGTCAGGGTGCCCGGGAGGGGCGGTCCGGGTCGGGGACTGGGCGGCGCCCGGCGTGAGGGGGCCCCGGTCCGGGTCAGGGTCTGGGCGGCGCCCGGCGTGAGGGGGCCCCGGTCCGGGTCGGGGACTGGGCGGCGCCCGGCGTGAGGGGGCCCCGGTCCAGGTCAGGGTCTGGGCGGTGCCCGGCGTGAGGGGGCCCCGGTCCGGGTCAGGGACTGGGCGGCGCCCAGCGTGGCATTTTGGAGCTGGGGACTCGCTCGGACTCTGGGCGAGTCGCTGTTAAACGCCGGGGAGAAGAGCGGAAGCTGCAGGGGTCACAGGGCACATGGGGGGCCTTTCGCTCCAGCCATGGCATGGCGGGGGGGATTTCTACGCTCTGCCCAGCAGCAAACTCTTCACCCACCGCAGGCCTGGCAGAAGCGACAACGCGCGAGGAGCAGCCCCCGGAGGCCCAGCGGCCTGACGCCGAGCTCCCGTGGCATCGGGGCCCGGTCCGTTAACGAGCTCGGCCAGGCTTGGAAATCCCAGCGTCTCTGTGTCCACGCACTGAGCACCTCCGGGGATGAGGATTATTAATTGCTGCTGGATCCTCTTGGCTCTTTATGCAAACGCCCCCACCCCAGAGCTGCTGAGTGACCCCTGTGCCCCCCACGCAAACTAGCTACAACACCCTCCCCCCTCCACAGAGCAGCCCCCAAATTACCAGGGCTCCCAGAGCGAGTCAGGGAAGCAGAGTCTGTCAGCAAAGGCCTGAGAGCGACTCGAGCGGAGACAGAATCCCAGCTGACTACGGATAGATAGACAGATAGAGGGGGGCGTCTGGGGATGGATGGATGGATGGATGGATGGATGGGTAGGGGGTGTCTGGGGATAGGTAGAAAGGAAAGCAAGATTGAGAGCTATTTATTAATAGTTATATTATTATTCTCACTGCACCAAATTTCCGAAGACCAAGTCCCGGCCCCTCTGAACTAAGCGTCTGAACCCATCTCGCTACCCGTGAATGCCAAGCTGGGCGAGCGGACCTGCAGCGTCAGCACCCCACTGGCGATGGAGGCCTGTTCTCAGCTGCCCGCAGCCAGCCCCAATCCTGCGCCAGAGCCAGGACGCGCCCGGTCCTGGGTTGCGCGGCCAGAAGGGTGTTTACAGACACTGGACCCCTAAGAAGTTGCAAATCGGTCTCTTTATGGAGGAAAGTCAATTACCGGCCCCGGCGAGAAAGATTTTGACACCAGCTCCGAGACTGGCAAGTCCAGCGCAGTCTAACCGGAGAGCGAAAGGGCGGGAGGCGCGTGCCTGGGCCGGCCAGCTCCCCTTCCGGACGCCAGGTAACCGGGACCGAGAGCAGGTCGTCACACGGCCAGGGACGCCACCGGCAGCATTTCGGGTGCCGCTGATCCCGCTGGAAATCGACTCCATCGAGCCGGTGACAAACAGACTGGGCTTTGTAAGAACCTGGATCGATTGGCAAATGGCGGCTATTTATAGTGACATTGACAGATATGCAAATGACGGCTATTTATAGTGACATGGACAGATATGCAAATGGCGGCTATTTATAGCCACGCTGACAGACTGGCAAAGAATTCCCAGCAAACCTGGAGAGGATTCGGCCAAGGCTCGGTCCCGCCCGGCTCAGGGACACTCTCCGGGGTGGGCTGCAGAGCCGCTGTAATTTAGGGGTAGATTTGGAGAGGTGCACAGAGCTCTAGGGCCGGGGCAGGGAGGCAGGTTTGGGACACGGGGGTAGTTTTTAGGGGCCACTCCACACTGCTCCCTTTGCAAACAGACTCGTTATTTCAGGATCTCATCAGGGGGGGGGCGAACTCCCCCAACCCCGGCCCAAGGCTCGTTCGAGGGGCATGTTTCGGCACTCATGGTTTGTGGGGTGACCCACCAAGTGGTGCGAGGGGAGCGTTGTGAGGACAGACGGCCGAGCCAGCCGGGGCTCTGGGCTTTGCTGGGCTCGTGGCCACTCCAGAGAGACAAGGTGAACACGGGGACACATTTCTCCGGCTCTTCCCAGGCTTTCGGACTCAGTTCCCGCCCTCCCTCGTTCTCCCGGTCGGAGGGGTTCTGTGCACCAGCCCATTCCCCCCACGGCCCCCCGTTCCCCTCCCCAGCCATGCCTTCTCCCCAGCACCACCCTCACTGGCTATTTCTCTCTTCGGCTTCCAGCACCCCCTCCCCCCGACACAGACGGGGAAGGGGGGTGCAATCCCCATGGCAATTGAGTGACGGGGGGAGGGCTTTGCTGGGCCAAGCGCCGGATCCCCCCCAGCCCAGGTGTCGCTGCGGGAAGAAAGGCCCTGCTGAGATGGAGAAGCCAACGGTCAGCTCTTGACCAGGAAATGGCTGCTGTCAGGTACCACCGATGGATCCCGCCATGCTTGGGGGGGTCACCCTGCAGACCGGGGGGGCTGCTGCGCCCCACAATGAAACGACCCCTGAATGAAAACCCTGGGGCTGCTGCTCCATTATCGGTCACACCCGGGGGACAATAGACAAGGGGCTGGGGAAGGTTGGAGGGTCCTTGATCAGCAGATAAGGTGCGAGGGGGGCAGAGGATGGTGGGGGTCCCCGATAGCATGATAGGGTTAGAGGGGAGCAGTAGGAAGGCGGAGCAGGGGGGCCCCCACAGAGGGGAAGACTGAGCTGGAAGGGGGGGCAGCATGGATTTGGGGCGGGGACGGGCGAGAGCAAGCGGGGGAGGGGATCTCGGGTCAAGTGCAGTCAGGGAGAGGGAAGGAGACAGAGGCAAAGGAAAAGGGGGGGGCAGCCTGGGGAAAGGGCTGAGCAAGCGGAGAAAGGGGGGAAGTGAGAGAGAGAGAGAAACCGGGAGGGGGGAGGACGAGGGTCAGGGGGGGTCTCTGGCAAAGCCAACCAGGACCTGCCCTGGGATGCTCTGGGGCCTGTGCTGCGGGGGGCGGGGGGGAGCGAGGGACCCCTGGGGGGACCCCCGGGAAGCCGGGAGAAATTCCCTGGTTGGGGCAGGTGTGGCAAATGGCCAGAGGCAAAAGCCAGCGGGACGCAGCCCCCCCCCATTCCCGGCCGACAGACAGACGCGCGCCCCCTCTCCCTGCCAACAGACGGACCCCTCCCCACGCCAGCAGGGACCCCCATGCGCTGAGTCCCTCTGAGGGGTCTCTGGAGGGAGCCGTGGGATGAGGCCGCAGGGGGAACGGCCCAGCTTCGGGGTGACTGGAAGGGGAGGTTTGGGGGGGAGACAGACACAGACACACTGACCAGACACACACACAGACACACACAGACACAGACACACACTGACCAGACGCACACACAGACACACACTGACCAGACACAGACACAGACACACACACGCACACACACACAGACACACAGACACACACTGACCAGACACACACACGCACACACACACACGCACGCACACACACAGACACACACACACACACACACAGAGACACACACGCACAGACACACACTGACCAGACACACACACGCACACACAGACACACGCTGACCAGACACACGCACACACACACAGACACACACACGCTGACCAGATGCACACACACGCACACGCACACACACGCACACACACATGCACACACGCGCACACACACACACACGCACACACACGCATGCACCAAGCAGCAATAAAAAAGGTCACTGCAGAGAAACGAGGTCTTGCTTAGCAGCAGAAGCCGCACGCCCGGGAGAAACGCACTGACACGCACCCCGCACCGTGACACACACCACACAAACACAAGGGAGAGAGACGCACACACCACAACCCCATGCTCACACACAGTGCAACACACACCACACCACAACCAGCCAACAGCAAGAGGCACATGTGCACACGCACACGGCGTGGAGACCCACACAACACAACACACACATGGCACAAGGTGACAGAGACACACAGCACACACACGCCAGGTCCCGGTGCCCAGCCCCACACCCTCCTGGGGGTTTACAAGGAGGGGGGGATACAAGGGGTTTCTGGGGTGAAGCACAGAGCCCAGTCGTCCCCCGCATTGTCCCATGGGGGTTTATTTATCAGGGGAAAGTCAGCTACCCAGGGGAGAACGGAGCCCAGGAGTCCTGGCTCCCAGCCCCCCAGCTCTAACCACCAGATCCCACCCCCTCCCAGAGCTGGGGAGAGAACCCAGGAGTCCTGGCTCCCAGCCCCCAGCTCTAACCACCAGATCCCACCCCCTCCCAGAGCTGGGGAGAGAACCCAGGAGTCCTGGCTCCCAGCCCCCCAGCTCTAACCACCAGATCCCACCCCCTCCCAGAGCTGGGGAGAGAACCCAGGAGTCCTGGCTCCCAGCCCCCCAGCTCTAACCACCAGATCCCACCCCCTCCCAGAGCTGGGGAGAGAACCCAGGAGTCCTGGCTCCCAGCCCCCCCTGCAGACACAAGCCCAGGGGTAGCTTCATCCTTGTGAACCCAGGCAAAACGGGCCCATCCGGCTAGGCATTAAGACGTCTCCCAGTCACAGACACACGCGTACACACATGGTCACACACACGGTCACACGTGCACACGCATGCACACACAGTCACACACGTACTGTCTCTCACGCACATGCTGTCACACAGGCTGGAAGGGCCAGGGGCCAGGTGAGCCACAGAGCTGGGCTGTACGTGTGTCCATCTCCCCCAGACTTACAGACGCGGAACTGACCCCCCACCTCCGTCCCCCACCCCGGTACCCTCAGCCTACGGTGCTGCAAGCTTCCCCCAGCAGTGCCCAGCGGGGACCCTCCAGTGCTGTGAGCTTCCCACAGCAGTGCCCACCTGGGACCCCCCTGGTGCCGCGAGCTTCCCACAGCAGTGCCCACCTGGACCCCCTGGTGCTGTGAGCTTCCCACAGCAGTGCCCACCTGGGACCCCCTGGTGCTGCGAGCTTCCCACAGCAGTGCCCACCTGGGACCCCCCTGGTGCCGCGAGCTTCCCACAGCAGTGCCCACCTGGACCCCCTGGTGCTGTGAGCTTCCCACAGCAGTGCCCACCTGGGACCCCCTGGTGCTGCAAGCTTCCCACAGCAGTGCCCACGTGGAACCCCCTGGTGCTGCAAGCTTCCCACAGCAGTGCCTGCCTGGGACCCCCCTGGGGCTGCGAGCTTCCCACAGCAGTGCCCAGTGGAGAACCCTGGTGCTGCGAGCTTCCCACAGCAGTGCCCACCTGGGACCCCCCCTGGTGCTGCAAGCTTCCCACAACAGTGCCCAGCTGGGACCCTCCAGTGCTGCGAGCTTCCTACAGCAGTGCCCTATCAGCATTACTTGGTATTTCTAGCCTCAGTGAGCCCTGAGGCCAGATCCAATGAACCAAGAAGGAGGAATGAAATCTGGAAGGGGGAGAGCCGCCCACTTTCAGCCCTGGGGAGGGGGCACCGCAATAACTCCCCCCTCTGCTCCCACCCACACCCCAGCCTCTGGAATGTGGGGGCAGTGGGGCGTGCTGATCTGGGAAGGGCAAGGACTTGGGGTGGAGATTTGGAGGTGACTCTGGCTTTGGGGGCTCGGGGGCTTTCGGGGCTCGGGGGAATTCACTGATGTTTTATTTTCTCTCCAAAAGAATTTAATTTTAATATGACAAAGGGCAGGGAAAGGGGGGGCAGGAGGGAATGTGAACCCCCCTCACACCCCAGACACAGCCCCTTCTCCCCCTTTTCTCCCCAGGGCCAGAGTCCTCCTCCTCTCCCCCTGATCCACCCTCTGCTCCCCCTTGCACCCCAGATCCACACCCCTCCGGCACCCCCGGTCATTCCAATTCTCCCCCCGCCTCCAGCTCCGCGGCGCACATGGGGGGGGCACAGCTCCCCCCAGGAACAACCGAGGGCTGCTGATCATTATTAATACTCCCCGGATGCCCCCTCCTCACCGTGGACAAAAGGCGAGTCCAGCGCTGGCTGAATGCATCTGCCCCCCCGCATCCTACCGTGCCCCCCCTCCGGCCATTGCCCCCCCCCACTCCGGACAATCCACAATCCCCCGGCTGTGTGCATCAGGCATCCAGTGCGGCTGCACAAACCCCTGCAGCCGTGGGGTCAGCAAAGCCCCCCCTCCAAAGCGCATCAGAGCCCCCCTCCAACGCAACACCCCCCAATTAACCCAGCCCCCCTCCAACGCAACACCCCCCAATTAACCCAGCCCCCCTCCAACGCAACACCCCCCAATTAACCACAGCCCCCTCCAACCCATCACCCCCCAATTAACCACAGCCCCCTCCAACCCATCACCCCCCGGAGACCGAAGCCCCCCAGACAGTCAATTGCAATACAATTCCCACGCCGGAGATGCCGCTTTGCGAACGCCCCCCCCCCCCCCGCCTTTTTTCTCCCTATTCTTCCCCCCCCCCCCCCCCCGCAGCATCCTCCGCCCGGAGCCCCGAGGCATCGGCGGAAACGCCGCCGCCAGCCCCGCTCCCCCCCCCGGCCCCGCGGACGCTCCGGCTCGGAAGCCCGCCGGCTCCGCGGCCCCGCTCCGGGCGCGCCGCAGAAGCGAAGCGAAGCGGAGCGGAGCGGAGCCGAGCTCGCCCCGGCCGCCCGTGCCGGAAAAGCCAAGTGGAGAGAAAAGGCTGGAAGCGCCGAGGCTCCCCGCGCCGCGCTGCCCGCCTCGGCCCGGTCTCTCCCGGCCCGGCCCGGCCCGGCCCCGCGGCGCCGCTCCGGGCTCCCCCCGCGCCGAGCCGAGCCGAGCCAAGAAAGGGCTCGGGACCATCGCGGGCGCAGCGCGGCCAGGGGAGGAGACGAGCCGCGAGCGCGCCTGGCGCGGCCGGCTGCATTAGGCGCTTTGCAATCAATACGGCGCGGGGCTCTATGCAAAGCGCAGACATTAATATGCAAAGTTTTAAAGATTTTTAAATGGGAGCGAGCGAGGCTCGGAGCCGGGAGGAGGCGGAGGCGGGGGGCTGCCCGGAGCCTGCACCTACCTCTGCTTCCATCGGTGGGCGCACGCTGACTCCTCCATGCGCGCGGGGGTGCAGCCCAGAGACACGCGGGCCGGCGGGGGGAGCGGCGGCGGCCAGCGCGAGCCGGGGCGCGCGCCGGCTTCTCTCCATCATCCCCCGCCAGCCGCCGTTGCCCTGGCAACGGGGAGGATGCAGCAGCATCAGCACCAGGCATGAAGGATGCTCAGGAGCCGGGGATGGGGAGGGAGGGAGGGAGCGGGCGGCGGGGGGGGGGCAGCCCCAGGGCTGGGGGGAGGGGGTGGGTTAGGAAGGGGGAGGGGCAGGGTTAGGAGGGGGGCGGACAGGGTTTGGGGGAGGGCTAGGAAGGGGGACTTGCGGGGCGGGGGCAGGTGAGCAAGGTGGAGGGGAGTGGGGAGGCCAGGGTTGGGGGGGGAGAGCCAGGATATGGGGGGAGAGGGCAGCTGGGGGAGGGGGAGAGGGCAGCTGGGGGAGGGGGAGGGCTAGGAAGGGGGGAATCCCAGGACTTGGGGGAGGAAGGGGAGGGGCAAGGTTGGGGGGAGCCCCAGGGGAGAGGGAGGAAGGGGGGAAAGGGAGAGTGTGTTTGTGTGTTTGCCGTGCTTTTGTGGCTCTGATGTTGGGGGGTGGGTTGGGGGGGTATGGCTGCATGGCTGTGGGTGTTCTGTGTGTAAGGGGGGGCTGTGTAACACAACACCCTTTTCTCCTGTTGCACCCCTCACTCCGGCTCTCTCGCGCGCTTTTCAGCTTCAAACTTTCACAGAGAAAATTGAGGGCATCATTTGCACAGTGATGAGGAGTTTGCATGCGGTAGAGACACTCCGAAGTCCAAGTTTTCCCTGCAACACTTTTGTGGGCAACCTGGGTTGAGGGCAGAGAGCAGGGAGGCGGTATTGCAGCGTACTGCCTGCAGGAGATGCTTTTGGAAATTAAGAATCCTACATGCCAGATAACCCAGAGACGTCGATGCATAGTCAGAATTTAAAGTGCTTCATGCAATAACGCGAATGTTATTTGAAATATACATTGGAAGTGGAGCTCATCTGTGCAGTATTTGAGAATGGAGCTTGGAAAATATCTTGGGAACTAATAATCTGACGTGGCAAAAATAACCAAGAACTTTTTATGGCAATGCATATTCAGAATATAAAGTGCTCTGTGCAATCAGATCAAAGGGCATTGGCAGTGGAGGGGGTGTGAGCAGGATTTTAGAATACTGGGTTTGGGATATTTGGGAAGCTAAGTTTTATATGCCAAAGAATAAAGACGTGTGTGTGTGCAATGCCCATCAGAATTAAAAATACTGTATGCAACAGTTCCAACCATTATTGCAACGTACACTGGAAATGGAGGGTGTGGGAGCAGTATTTGAGACTGCAACATGCAGGATATTTTGGAAATTAAGTTTTACATGCCAAAAATGCAGAGGTGTTTATGCAATGCCGAGCCAGCGTTAGATGTACTAATTGCAATAATTCTGACTGTAGCTGGCCATAGGTATTTGGGAGCGAACAGCATGGTGTGCCGTATTGTAACATATTGCATGGTGCAGATTTTGGAAATTAAGAGCATTACATTAGAATAATCAAGACATTTTTATGCAACGCATATTCAGATTTAAACACATTGCATACAATAATCCAGATTATGATACCCAATACAGCACAAACCGCTACATAACCCGCTGTAGAGTGAGGTTTAAGAATGTTGCCTGAAGTGGATATTGAGTGTCTGAAACAAAATAATTAGGCTGTTGTATGACATTCATAGTTAGAATTAAGAATATTCTATGCCATCGTTCTGAATATTGCATGCAGTAGGGATTGGCAATGGAGAGCATTGTGGCAAAATTTCAGAGTATTGAATCCCCAAGAATTTGGAAATTAAGTGTCTTTTGTGGGGAAGCAATGAAGAACATTTTGTACAATGCACACTTAACATTGAAAGCACTATAGTCAATAAAGAGTTTGCAATATGTATTTGGAAAGGTGAATATTGTGTGCTAGGCTCGTGAATATTACCTGTGGGGTTATTTGGAAATTAAGAGTTTGATATGCAAAAATAATGAAGAGATTGTTTCATGCAATGCATGTTGAGAAAGAAAATACTCTATGCAACACCCCCCCTCCCATAATATTGTAGATAACACACTCTGAACCGACCATTTCATACAAGGTGTGTAGGGAAGGGTTAGAATGTTGGATACAATTAGTATTGAATATTGTATGCAAAATAATTAATTGCATGAAATGCATATGTATAATTAAGAGTACATTATGCAGTAGTTGAGTTTGATATCCAATTAGTGTAACTATTGAGTGTTGTATACAATATATACATATATAGTTGGTATGAAAGCTTTATATGAAAAATATTATTGTGTGGGATGCATATGGAAATTAATAGGATTATACAGAATAATTATATGCATTGCATCTTGAGAATGAGAGCGGATACATTAGTGTCAATTAAAAGTGTTGTGTGCAACTTTAATTTAGAAATGAAGTTTAGGGCATAAATCCAGTGAGATTTTACGATTATTATACGAAATAATTAAGAGAACACAGAAATAAAAAATACAAGAGTGAAGATAGATTTTAAATTATTATATACAATACTTAACTGTACATTTGGGAGATTTTATATTAAAGAGATGGAAGGATACTCTATACAATATGTGGAAGGATATAATATGCAATATGTGGAAGTATTGCATGCAATATATATGAAGAATTAATGGGATTACATGCAGAAGTATTAAGAATATTCTATACAATCTAAGAGCATTATTCTGAGAGTTAGAAGAATATGAAAAATAACCCAGAGAATTGATAAGAACCGAGATCACTGTATGCCAAAATTATGAGTTTTACATGTGGTGAATACTGGGAGTTAATAGAATTATGTGCCAAAAATCAGAGCAAAATCGCAGCCTGAATGTTGGAAATTAAGACCATTACACACAATACTTGAAGTTGCTGCATCCGTGTTTCACAGACCTGAAGAACAATAAAGGGGATTGTGCGGCAGTATATACAAGGGATTTCAAAAGACCATTTGATGTATTTTCCACTGAAAATAAAGAGTGTGATAGGCAGAAATCATTCAGATGGGGTTTGGGGGTTTTTGCATGCAGTAGATATGAGATGTTGAGAGGAATAGGAGTCAAGATTTTAAAGCATTTTGGGCAAAATTGAGAAAGCAGCTTATTAGCCCTAGCACAGTGAGAATAAAGAGAATTGCATGTATGGAGAAATCAGCTAGAATTCAGAGTACAGTATCAAATATATTAAATTCAGAGCATCGTTAGAATTTGAAGTAATATGTGCAGAAATTAAGGCTAACCTTTGCAAAACTGGTTGTCTACAGTTTGTGCTCCGAAAGTCAAATTCCGTTCGTGAAATACAGTTTTAAAATATGGCTTTATCAGTTTAGCTGTAGTCACCCCCAACTTACGAAATTTTGGCCTAACTGGCTTGTGTGATATACATTCATAAACGGAGAGTACTGTACTGTGTATACAGCGAGATTGAGAATTAGAGTATTCTTTGAAAGATAATTGGGACCATGATAAACTATTGTAGAATTGAGAACATTTTATCCCAAGAATTGAGCATTGCATGCAATATATCAGAGTTTAAATTTTTTGCAAAATACTTAAAATCAAGAAAAGTGTTCCTCCCCGTCTGGAAAATTAATTGCTGTATTTGTAATCATGGTGTGGAAGAGAGACTGGGCTTGTGTGTGTCTGAAAACAGAGGGTTCGGTGCGATACATATTGGGCTTGAGGTCTAGTGCACAATATATATGACAATGCTGATTTCACTTCAAGTGCTCTGGGAGTGAGAATTAATTTTATATAACATGATACTGAAAAATTGTGCATGTTGTAATGCATGTTGAAAATCGAGACTGGTGCGTGCAACATACATTAAGGACTCGGCTCAGATGTGAAGTCGTCTTATTGCAGGCAGTATAAATTCATCTTTCTGTGCTCACTGGAAGCGAAATTTGGAGATAATTTGAGATAATTACAGTCAAGCCATATTGCATGCAACATACATTAAGCATCGTCTGCATTTTGATAGTTTAGAATGTGCATGCAATAATTAAAATGATTGCACAGAATCAGAACTGGATGCAACATAGATTCACTGTTCTGTGCAATAATTGAGATTAGGGCATGAAGTGAAGCTTGGAAATGAAGACTTGCCAGCAAGAACACCGAGAATTAAGACTAGAATTCAATGCAGGGTTTTAGAAAGAGCAAAATCACTTCAGAAGCACTGGGGTTCATTAGCTAGAGTGTCACACTCGCGTAAAAGTGCTCAGAATAGTCTCAGGATCCGATGGTGAGGCTGAAGCTGGTGTGCACGACGCAGCGAGGCGTTTATACCGTGCAGCCAGGTCTGCCGACGGTGTCGCTCTGGGGAAACGGGCGGAAAAACACCGACTTGCACCAGCGCAGGGCCTGGCCCAGAGCCCTTTTCTGTAGTGTTTGTCGAGTGCTGGCCATAGCCGGGAATTCTCCTTTCGGGGGAAGAACACAGAGCCCGAGGAAACGGCCGCCCCAGCAGCTCCAGACCATCGGCACCCCACCCCGCCTGCTAACAGGCCAGAAAGAATCAGGAGAATCATTTCCTGGGGGAAAACAAACTGCACCCCAAATCGGCCTGAATTTTGGACCCAAACCTAACCCACCCCTTGCAGAAAGGCTGGCTCCCTCGCCGAAGGTCTCTATGTTCGTTTACTGTTAATTCATCCTCACACGCCCAGCCTGCCTGCTGCTGACATGTCTAATGCTTTGTGTGTCATTCCAGCCCTGCGCCTGACCGCAGAGCTTGTGTCCAGGCTAATAAAAAACAGACAGCAGGTCACGTCCGCTGCTAGGAAAGAGGCAGACACCTCGCGCATGCAGCTGCCTTGGAGGTGGGAGGGGGATCCTGGAAATTAACAGTGGCCTCTGGAAAAATCCAACTCCGAGTTGCAAGGAACTGAACCCCAGCAGAGCATGCTCTTTGCCCACCCTCCAACTCAATGTAGGCTGGGGGTGGACAAGGTCTTTACAGTCTCCACGCAAAGCTTTGATTGAATGTTCGGTGTGGTACCTTCCACCCACGCTGAGCTGAAAGAGGAAACGCTTCCGCCCCCGT